ACTTTGTCAGTGTCACGAGCCAAACGCTGTCCTTGGGAAAGACAATTTACACGAATTGTTCCCACTTCACCCAGGTTGGAATAGGTACCCGATCATAGATAGCGAAAGATCTTGTCAGTATGTAAGTGTTTTAGCGCGTATAACAATGACAGCTTATGTGTATATAATATTTTGTGTGGTAAGCGGCGGGTACACCTGTCTTGTTTGCTCCTTTTTTCGTTCCCAACAACTGTCGTCCTTTATCTCTCCTCCTCCGTTTCATCTTTTTTTTTCTTTCTCTCTCTCTCTTGTAACACTTACAAGTATTAATATATGATCTAGTTCTGTTGCAAGTGCCGTGAAACGCTGCTTATGTATACAGACATGAGCATGTCTGTTTTTACTTGCTATGCCAATGTCTGTTTGATTGCTTTTGTACTGAGCAGAATATGATCTGATCCAGTCTCTGCTCCTTGTGGGCTGAAATCAATTACGGTTCTTTATTTCTCTTTAATGATTTCCTCTGGTGGAGCAACGATATAATGTGGAAGCAATGTCCCGCCCACAGTATGATCATTTAGACCGAGTCGTTTTTATTTATAAATTATAAAAGCCACCGATGGTAGATGACACAGGCATGCATTTGAATTAATCGGACCATTTTGCACAGCGTGTGCTTTGTAGAGCTCAGTGTATTTTCTAGAATTTTCCAGCATTAATTTAGTGCTACTGTTCCCACAACTAGATTGGGATATTTTGGGCATGTTTTGAGAATGCCGAAAACAAGGCTGCAGTATCAGACATGCTAGTGGAAACCAAAAGAAGAAGTGTATACCAACTGGCAGTTACACGAGTACTATCACAGGGATGATCAGCCTGGGTCTGGATGTGCCAACAAGATGAAAGGCCAGGAATGACAAGCACAGTGTCGACTGTTCTCTGCTTTATGTACCTGACTGCTCGGGGGGGGGGGGGGAAGCGAGAGAGAGGGAGAGAGAGAGAGAGAGAGAAAGAGAGAGAGAGAGAGAGAGAGAGAGAGAGAGAGAGAGAGAGAGAGAGAGAGAGAGAGAGAGAGAGTTTATACATCGACGACACAATTTGAAGGCCGGCTTCTATCCTGCAAATAAGGACCAACCCGGACTGAAAGGGGTACAACGTCCCTGCAGAAAGACAGGAGTACTCGATACAAATCCTCCCATTAGGGGGATCTAACTCTGGTCGCTTGCACGGGGCGGCGAAGCAGCTACCTACAGACCCCGGTCTCCTTCTCCCCAAACGCGCCCTCAGCTCAGCTGGCATCACGCTGGGCCATGATAGTGAGCGTGGCCCTGGTTCGCACCCCCCCCCCAAAAAAAAAAACAAACAAAAAAACCCCCACAAAAAAACAACAGCAACAACAACAACAACAACAACTTGAACTTTGTTTGTTTGGGGAGTTTTCAATTTTAAGGTTCTCCGCCTACTTGGCTGAGTCCTCTCGGAGACGGATGTTTGATTCGAAGGTCCTCTTAATTAAACAATTTAAAACATAATCTAACGGTCTTTTCTTACTTACTTTACTTTTTTCTTCCCCTTGTACCGGTGGGTGTCGTGGGGAGACACAGGCGTGTCTGCAGCAAGATGAGTGGCCTGTAGGAGGGACATCCTGAGTCTTAAAAGAAATGTAAGACCCCTACCATAAGATCTTTATTCTGCTTTAGCAAGCTGGATTCCCTCACATTGACTGCACAGACAAACTGACACTTTGCCAGTGTGTGGACACCACCGTCCCTCAAACAGCGCCCTGTACAGTACTGTAAAGAGAGATTTCCCAGCATTGACGGCACAGACTGAGACTTTATTTGTTAGTGTGTGGACGCCATAGTCCCTCAAACAGCGCCCTGTACAGTACTGTAAAGAGGGATTTCCCCACATTGAAGGCACAGACTAGAGCTGGGCGAAGAATCGAAACCGGAACCGGTTCCCACGATTAATTCTACGGTCATAATGTCGACTCCTTTTTACGTAAACCAACGGTCACCAGGTACCTAAATTATTAAAAATCTTCTCTCTTTTTTTTTATTTAGAATTTATTTTTGAAAAATAAAAGTTGACGCTTTGTAGTGTTCCAAAATCAAGGCCATCCTAAATCCCGAAGATGTCCGGAGCCAACCAGGTAACCATGGAAAAAAAAATCACATCATTAGAAAGTTAGTAATTGGGTTCGGAGTCGATTCCTACGATTCCTAGCTTGCAAGAATAGGGAACCTCGCCGCCCAGCACTAGCACAGACCAAGACTTTGTCAGTGTCTTTACGTACCACCGTCCCTCAAACAGCTCCCTGTACACAGTAAAGAGAGATTTCTCCTCATTGAAGGCACAGACTAAAGACTTTGTCAGTGTGTTGACACCCCCGTCCCTCAAACAGCGCCTTGTACACTGTACTGTAAAGAGGGTTTTCCCCACATTGACGACACAGACCAAGACTTTGCCATTGTGTAGACACAATCGTCCCTCAAACAGCGCCTTGTACACTGTACTGTAAAGAGGGTTTTCCCAGCATTGACGGCACAGACCAAGACTTTGTCAGTGTCAGGACACCACCGTCCCTTAAAGAGCACCCTGTAAATTGTAAGGAGGGACTTCCCTATTGACAGCACTAACTGGCACTTTGTCAGTGTGTCAATGTGTGGACACCACCGTCCCTCAAACAGCACTCTGTACACAGTACTGTAAAGAGATATTTCCCCACATTGACGGAACAGACTGAGACTTTATTTGTCAGTGTCTGGACACCACCGTCCCTCAAACAGCGCCAAGTACAGTACTGTAAAGAGGGATTTCCCCGCGAAGTCTTCGGGGTTCTTACGTCAGTCTCCCCGGGCGGGGCCAATAGTTTATCGGAAGTGGATAACCCGATGGCCGAGACGGCTCAGACAGGAGCGTAACGGAACCCGCTCTACGTCGTCTGCAGCACGTACGCCGTCTGTTGGCCCGCGTGACGTCACTGAACTCAACTGAACTGGACTGTGTTGTGAACCATAGAGCCTTTTTAAATAAAGATTAGCCTATTGCTGGTGGTTTTACCTCTTTATCGACACAATTGTGTCATGATCCTATGGAATCAGGCGCTCGTCAATGTTTGGGCATATGGGGTTATCGGTATTATCTTTAAATCTGTTAGCTTGCCTTCCTTTTGGTAAAAAAAAATGTTGATCTATATTGAATAAAAGTCTAGAAATTTGCGGTTGAAGGAAGTCAAGGTCGCCTGGTTTCAGAAGTAAAATTATCGAGAAAATGGCTGCCAAAGTTTGGTAACTTCCATAAGTGTCGTTGGAAATTAAAATGTTACATTTTTGTGTGCCTTTCATCAATGTTTTTCAGTAAAAATCCACACAGAAATGCGAGTTTTAATGCGCATGAAAGGTATTGAGCCAAAAAACAAAAATTCGATAAAAATTCGAAAATCTGCAGGAAAATGCCAGTTTCTTCACTTCCATTATTTTGACGAGCGCCTGATTTCACCACACTGCCTCACACAGAACAGATCCTTTAAAAAAAAAATTAGTTCTGGTGTTTTTACCCCGTCCTCGACACACTTTAGCTCATTTAGAAGGCGGGCATTGAGTGTGACCCTGCCAGTCAGTTCCAACCCGGGCTGAGAGAGAGATCACACTTGGTCCCAACAGAGAGACTGTATAAGACACGTAGTACGAATTCTCACCTCCCGGGCCCGTGGATTCAACCTTAGAGAGAGCGAACTTCATTTTACGGTGCTGTCGACAACAAAAATCGGCTTAATTTAAGCTGCTTGTTCAATATCCCCCTTTTTTCCTTATAAAATATATTTTTGTACATTGTTTTGTCAGTCTGATTTCTTTTTCGATGTTGGAGATTTTCATTTGTTTGCTTGTTTGGGTGGCTGGGTTTTTTTTTGGGGTTTTGTTTTGTTTTCGATCGTATATGCCAGCATTTTCATCTTTGTTTGATGTTATCCAATTCCTTACATCGACAATACTTTTTTTCAAGCCGGTTATTAGAAAATTATAAGTTGTTGGTATATACGCGCGCGTGTGTGTGTGTGTGTGTGTGTGTGTGTGTGTGTGTGTGTGTGTGTGTGTGTGTGTGTGTGTGTGTGTGTGTGTGTGTGGTCTACCTCTCATGCTAAATATGCCGGTACCGGGTTCGAATCCGGTCCATGCGGATAGGTCCTATTTTTCTTTTCTTCTTCATCGTCTTCTATTTGTTCTGCTTCTTCATTCTTCTCCTCTTCACCCTTTTCCTCATTATGAGTTAATCTTGTCTATTAATTCTCAGCAAAAAGGAAATTCTCTCGCTCACTCAATCTCCTTCTTTCACATCCATGGTCTTTAGGTAGGCACGATCGACCAACTCGTTTTCTGGGATAGAGAAGAAAAACCCCATATTACCGTACTGTCCATGCGCACGATGCATTGAGGATC